TATACCACTTCAAATAGCCTAGTTAATAAATTTCACACAAAGAGTGCCGTTTTTTTTCTCCAAAAATGAAAATGGTTACAAATGTGATATTGATTTTTTACATCAGTTCAATAAACAAGAAGATAATTAAGAGAGTTACGTTTTAGACAGCATATCGCCTGTTTTTGCGCTATTTTGACAACAAAAAATAATTCCAAACACAACCACAGCACTGTTCTTCTGAGCAACATGACGGTGATTCGTTCCTGAATGAATCAACCGTTTAAAATTGATGAAAAGTGACAGTAGAGACATTTATAATGTTACTGTAGATTTCTATTTCAAATAAATGCTGTTCTTTTGAACTTTCTATTCATCTGTGAATCCTGAAAAATAAAATGTATCACAGTTTCCACCAAAATATTGTGCAGCACAACTGTGTTCAACATTGATAATAATCAGAAATGTTTCTTGAGCATCAAATCAGCATATTAGAATGATTTCTGAAGATCATGTGACACTGAAGACTGGAGTAATGATGCATCACAGAAATAAATTATATTTTAACATGTATTCACATAGAAAATTGATATTTTAAATTGTAAAAATATTTCACAATTTAACTGCATTTTTATCAAATAAATGCAGCCTTGGTGAGCAGAAGAGACTTCAGTCAAAAACGTTTAAAATCTTTTGACTGGCTACATATATCATCTTATATTATTGTATACTCATGTCATTCTGTATCATTTAAAGTCACATGAAATCAGAATGGACTAAGTATGAAAATCAAGTGCATATGTTTCATCCAACTTCTTGTTTAAATAGGAAGTACATCAAGAAATAAGCTGAAATAAGAAAACATCACACGTGTTGAACTATCTATGAGGAATGAATTATCTAGACGCAATTTTTTACATGCTCAAAAGTGCATAGTTTTAGTGTGTCGTGCAAGTGTGATCTTTCCCTTGACCTTTGACCTTTGGCGGCAGGTTTTAAGGCGGAGTGGTTGGCGGTGAAGGACGAGCGTCTGTATGTCGGTGGTCTCGGGAAGGAGTGGACGACTATCACCGGCGAGTTCGTCAATAACAACCCCGAGTGGGTGAAGCTGGTTGGTTTCCATGGTGATGTGGAGCACGAGAACTGGGTACCGCGGTATAACGCGCTCAAGAAAGCAGCAGATATCAAACCACCAGGTAAGTCACACACACACACCTGATCATGATCACATGACCTGCTGTGGGAGGAGAAACACAAACGTACTTTGATTCAATACGCTTCATTTCTGAAAACATTTAGTGAAAAACACTTGATCAATTCATGCATGTACACTTCTGGAATTATATTTGATATATAATCATATATAGTAGGGGTGTGCGATATATATCGTCTGCGATAATATTGTAATTGTTTTAACGATGTGCGATTTTACATTATCGAGTATTTTGCAAAAAACGTTCAAAAAAACCCTACAGAGCGCACGCATACATAACGTGAAGCGCATTTAGAGTGCGTTCTTTCACGGCATGATTCAGTCTATTAAAATACATTTAGAATGATCACAAATTCAAAACATGATGGCAGAAAATGTGTATATTTATACCACTTCAAATAGCCTAGTTAATAAATTTCACACAAAGAGTGCCGTTTTTTTTCTCCAAAAATGAAAATGGTTACAAATGTGATATTGATTTTTTACATCAGTTCAATAAACAAGAAGATAATTAAGAGAGTTACGTTTTAGACAGCATATCGCCTGTTTTTGCGCTATTTTGACAACAAAAAATAATTCCAAACACAACCACAGCACTGTTCTTCTGAGCAACATGACGGTGATTCGTTCCTGAATGAATCAACCGTTTAAATGATTCGGTTCAATCGCAATGACTCACTTATTAACAGTGACTTGCTGCCACCTACTGGCGGTTTTAATATCACATTCAAAGTATCTTTTATTATTTAAATAATTTCAAATATCAGTATTCAAAAGATAATGGACACTTTTAAGAAAAAAATGGCTTTATAAAGATAAAATGTAAAAATCTGTTTAAACTTATTGGAAAAGATTAATTTCTATCAGCGTGAACTGACCACTGCACAGAACATGAAGAATATCAAAAACTTTAGGAGTCAGCTGTCTTCGGCAGTCCTTAAGATATCAGCACAATAACACACTCAGCAAAATATCGTCGTATTATCGTTAGCGATAAAATCCCAGAAAATATCGAGATATTATTTTTTGTCAATATCGCACACTCCTAATATATAGTATATGCTTAGATATTATCTAAAATATAACCATGTTTTCTTATATACTATCTTATATATAACCTTATATGTGACCCTGGAGCACAAAAGCAGTCTTAAGTCGCTGGGGTATATTTGTAGCAATAGCCAACAATACA